GCCTCTCGTCGTCTCTGCGTCGCACGCTGCTACGCTTTCCGTCTTCTCGTCACCGTCGCTGCGTTCCTCGTCATGTCGCAGGAGAGAACAACGGAAGCTGCCGCCGCCACCGCCCCCGTCGTTTAACTCCCGAGCTTGGTTCCACCGCCCAAATTCGACTTCGCAAACCCCGACAAGTGGCCGCAATGGTTTCTACAATTCGAAGACTTCAGCTTTGCGTCAGGCCTCTACCAAGCGTCGGACGAAGTTCAGGTGCGGACGTTACTGTACACTATGGGATCCGAAGAGGCGCGGCGTGTTCTTGAGACGTTAGGCCTCACCGCAGAGGAATGGCGGTCCTTCGCTGCGGTAACAGACAAGTTCAAGGCGCACTTTGTACATCCACCGAACGAAGTGTACGAGAGCGTGCTTTTTCACCGGCGGGTCCAGGAACGAGGGGAAACCGTCGACAGTTTTTACACGGCCCTTCGAGCACTCGTCCGCAAGTGCAACTATCCGTCCACAGAGGTCGAGGACAGGCTCGTTAGAGACCGCTTCGTCGTAGGACTTCTCGACTCGAGACTCTCCGACAAGCTCTGCCGCTGTCCGACCCTCACCATGGCCGAGGCCCGGCTACAAGCACGCATCCACGAAGACGCCGTCAAGGCGCGGGCGACCGTTTTTCGTGACGAGACAGCTGCCGTCGCACCTGAGCAGCTGAAGCTGGATGAAGCACGTGTGAAGAAAGGACGGAAACCGGCCCCCAAGACGTCTCCCAAGCGAGACTCGGCGTCGTCGCCGAGAGAAGGCAGCAAGAACTGCAGATTCTGCGGCCGTCAAGCGCACCCCCGTAACGAGTGCCCGGCTAGACAAGCCAAGTGTCACTACTGTCGACGCCTGGGTCACTTCGAAGATGTCTGCGAGAAGCGGAAACGAAGTTTGAGCACTGTTCATCTACATGCCGTTTCGACCGCGGGCCGAGCGAAGTTTGTCAAGGTCGCCGTCAACGGGTACGACGTCGACTTCAAAGTGGACTCCGGAGCCGAAGTCACGGTGGTGCCAAGCACTTTTCCCGGAGCACCTCGCAGTCTCCAAGAGCCTGAAGGGCAACTCACTGGACCGGGCAATCACCCATTGACAGTTCTCGGTACCTTCCAAGCCACATTGACTTGGAAAGGCAAGTCGGTAGTCGAGCGGGTTTACGTCCTGCCGTCGCAAGACCCACCTCTTTTGGGGTTTCCTGCCATCCAGAAGCTGGGTGTGGTGAAGTTCGTTGACGCCCTCTCCAGTCTCAACCAGCAGAGCCCTCTTCACAGCGACATCTTCGAAGGGTTGGGTGAGCTGAAGGACGAGTATGTGATTCGACTCCAGCCAGGAGCACAGCCGTTCTCCCTCAGCGTTCCTCGCCGCATTCCGATTCCCCTTCATAACATTGTCCGCGAAGAACTGGATAAGCTAGAAGCTGACGGTGTGATCCGTAAAGTCGACGATCCGACGGACTGGTGTTCTGGTATCGTTGTCGTCCCCAAGTCTTCTGGAGGTTACCGGATCTGTGTCGATCTCACACGCCTTAACCAGGTGGTCCAGCGGGAGCGTCACGTCCTCCCATCGGTGGAGCACATCCTGGGACGTCTGGGTCCTGCACGGATCTTTTCCAAGCTCGACGCTACAGCCAGTTTTCACCAGATCAAGCTATCTGCCGAAAGCCAGCTCCTCACGACCTTCATTACCCCGTTCGGCAGATACTGCTTCTGTCGCCTTCCTTATGGAATTTGCTCCGCTCCGGAGTATTTCCAACGTCAAATGGGGAGGATCCTGGAGGGTCTCGACGGAGTCGTCCACATGATCGACGACATTTTGGTTTTCGGACGCACCCAAGAGGAACATGACCGGCGTCTTGCAACAGTGTTGGGTCGCCTCAGCAGTGCCGGAGTGAAACTGAACAGAGCCAAGTGCGTCTTTTCAGCGTCCACTGTTAGGTTCTTGGGAGTCACAGTCAGTGCAGATGGTAACAAGGTCCAGGCTCTGGTCAACTTGGAGGCCCCAGCGGACGTCAGTGGTGTCAGGAGACTTCTCGGCATGGCTAATCACATAGGCCGTTTTCTTCCTCACCTGTCCGACGTGACTACGCCGATTCGTGCTCTTCTCCAAAAGAACAGTGCCTGGTGTTGGGGGCCCAGTCAGCAGTCTGCCTTTGATCGTCTTAAGGGCATGTTGAGCTCCAAGGTTTGCATGGCCAAGTACGACCCTTCGTACCATACCACAGTGTCGGCTGATGCAAGTTCGTATGGACTGGGAGCCGTTCTGCTACAGGACCAACCATCGGGAGAGCGTCGTGCCGTTGCCTACGCTTCGCGATCTCTTACACCGACAGAAACCCGGTATAGCCAGACGGAGAAAGAGGCTCTGGCCGTCACATGGGCCGTTGAAAGGTTCGACCAGTTCGTCCGTGGCATCAGGTTTGATGTCGAAACAGATCATCGACCCCTCGTCACTCTGTTGGGATCTGCGGAACTGGACACTATGCCTCCTCGCATTCAGCGCCTGAGGATGCGGCTTATGGCCTACCAGTACAACGTTCTCTATGTACCGGGGAAGCTCCTGGCGACAGCAGACACCCTTTCCCGAGCTCCTGTACAGGCTGCCGACACCAAAGTAGACACCGTCGAGCTCTTCGTTGGGTCACTGCTCAAGGACATCGAAAGTCTTGCATCCACTCGCCTCGATCGCCTTCGCCAGCACCAAGCAGAGGATGGAGTCTGTGCCGGCCTACTCCGATTCTGCAAGGATGGGTGGCCCAAGAAGGTGTCCAACGTTCCAGTTCATCTTAGGGCTTTCTGGAAGGAGCGAGGCAACATCACAGCCTTCGAGGGCCTGTTGCTGAAGGACTGTCGCATCGTGGTTCCTCAGACTCTTCAGAAGGAGATGCTAACATTACTCCACGAGGGCCACCAAGGCGTGGGAAGATGCAAGGCAAGGGCTCGCGACTCAGTGTGGTGGCCAACCTTGAACAGCGAGCTGGAGCAACTGGTGGGGACGTGCGAGCGTTGTGCCCAAACAAGAATTCAGCGCTGCGAGCCGCTTCTCGGGACTCCTACACCCGATCGCCCCTGGCAACGTATCGGGGTTGAGCTCTTTGAGCTGCAAGGACGCAACTACGTGGTCATGGTTGACTACTATTCCCGTTTCCCCGAGGTGGTCAGTCTTGCGACCACAACATCAAGCTCCGTCATCGCGGCTATAAGAGTTCCTTTGCCCGCTTTGGGATTCCGGAGACTGTGGTCTCTGATAACGGTCCGCAGTTTTCGTCAACGGAATTCGCCTCTTTCGCAGCCTTGTATGGGTTCGCCCACCGTACGAGCAGTCCGAGGTACCCGCAAGCGAATGGCGAGGCAGAGCGCATGGTTCGAACACTGAAGGAGCTCTTCGTGAAGGCAGAGGATCCGCACATGGCGTTACTGGTGTACCGGGACACACCCGGAGTGACCGGCTACAGCCCTTCGGAGCTGCTCATGGGTCGTCGTCTCCGGACCAGGCTGCCAGGGTTACCTGCATCGCTGATGCCGAAGTGGCCGTCGCCAAAGCTCGTCAAGAGCAGGGACCAGAGCGTGAAGAGCCATCAACGCAAGGACTTCAACAGGCGTCACGCCGCCCAGTCACTGCGCCCTCTGGAAGCAGGGGAAGAGGTGTGGGTACAAGATATACCATGTGCTGCTAGGGTGTTGAGCCCGGCCAAGCGGCCGCGCTCCTACGTGGTCGAGACGCCAAGGGGTGTTGTCCAGCGCAACCGTCGCCACTTGGTGCCGTTTACGCCCAGTACTCCCAGCCAGCCAAGCGACTTAGTTTGTACCCAGCCTGCAACTTCAGACGGGCCAGTTCCTGTAGCCGAAAGACCAACAGGCGATTCAGCGGTGGTGCCCAGTTCTACACGGCAGTCTCCCCCACCGGGTATACGCGTCACACGTTCGGGGCGGCAAGTCAAGCCTCCTCAAAGACTGAACTTGTGAAAGCACGAGGTAAAGCTCCCTCGAGCTGGAATGGGAGATGTAGTGAGGACATCTGGCAATAGATGGCACCACATGTGTCGTGCTGCGGGCTTACCGGAAGCGAAGCTTCTTCCGGTTGCTGATTTACGATTAAAGGCACTTTTTGACGAGCTGTCACACGGGGTAGTTGTGTTCCTTCTGCCTGGCGACCATGTGGTCGCACTCGGACGCCCACGGTCACAACAGCCGCCATAGCTGACCTTCTCTCGTCTTACCGAGATACCACTTAAGCCACTGAAGCGGGCTTTGACGAGCCTCCGTAAAGGCCGATGCTGGGGATAAGGACACAGTCGGATCTAAAATGCCAATAACCTGCCGTGCTGTCGTAATGATGGAGCCGAAGTGATCGAAATAAAAGAAAACAAAAACTGAATGTCGGCTATGCCAGCACCTAGGCACAGCTGCTGCAAAGTGTATATATATATATAGAGAGAGAGACGAAGCGTGAGGAGGAGATGAAAGCGGGAGGCGACGCCATAACACCCGCGGGAATGATTAGTGGATTGACCTTTGTCTATACTCACCCTTCGAACGCGAACGTCGCATTGGCGTTTGAACAGGGAGTAAAGACAAAGCCAAGATAGCTTTGCGTCCACCCACTCATCGTTCCAACCAGAGCTCAATGTTCTGACGTTCCCCGGGCGCTCTCGATCTCCTCGTCTCCCTCTGTTTTTGGTTGCTTAGTCATTGAAAGGATGAGAACGGCATGGATAGAAGGTCGGCGCCTTTAGAAAGGCTAAAGTGGTTTGCCAATAGAGACTAGTTGGGACAAACTGTATGTAGTCTGTACGCTGTATCTCGCGTGTGCATGTTAAGCAGTCTGAAAGAGTGTACGCAGCATTTCATCAGTATACTTCAAAGTGGAAACATTTGGGAGGTATTCCGAATATGTTCGTTGACTGGGCAGACATGGTGGTGGGTAAAAAGGCTTCGATGTTTTGGAAAACATTATTGAGGTGTTGAAAAACGACTCACCCACGGGTTCCGTGCACGTTCCCAGGTCGCAGAATTCTCGCTTTTCCACGTAAACAGTCACCTGGAGAAAAAAAAGGGATAAATAAATTGTAAGTCGCCAACGTTGTAATCTGCTAATATTTAAGGTCTACGTTCAAACAAAAAAGTATCTCGCGTCTCTCAATCCCTTGCCGTTTTTTTCTTCAATTAAAAGTTTTGTTAAAAATGTTGTTTCTTCTTTTTTGTGAGGTCTTGGGACAGTAGATGCACAAAATTAAAAGAAAAAAAAATACTTTCGTACCAACGACTGAATTATTCCGAATGCTAATGTTGAGAGTACCTGCTAGTTTCTACCTTTTCGTGTTCTAGATATTTGGCGTCAAACACATGTGCCCGAGATGATATTGCTGAAAAAAAAACATGTTTGTTTGGTATGTCCAAAAGGCGCCTTAAGTGGAAACAGTTGTAGGTCCTCTGTGATGCCATCGTGTAACCTCATGTCGGGATGTTACGTGACAACCAGCAAAGCGCGTGGTCACATGATGTCATGTTCTCACATGACGACCCTCATGCCGATGACGGCCGGCAGTTGACATTATGACGTCATCGAGGCCACATCCCACGCGCGGACACAAAAACGCTTAGAGCTATTCCTAATAATGCTATAAATACAAACAAAAATAGGAAGCCATTTTTTTTTTAGAGTTCGTCGGTGTTATAAAATATCTCTGGTATTTCCATGCGTGCACGCAGCGTGTGCGTGGCTATGCATGAACGTGTGTACATTTGTTTGCGTGTGTGGTGTGTTGATGTGCGCATTTGTGTGGAATATGAGTGTGCGTGTCCTTGTGTGCGTACTTGTGGACGCACGAAGTTTGGTGAACTAGAAGTATGCTTGTTTTATCATGTAACATGCTTCTGACGTCGTACAACTAACTACTGCTATGTAGTTATGTGAGCGTCGGGGGCTGATTTCAGTGTAGAGCCGCTGTACTTTACATTTGCCCGCTAAGGGAAATTTAAGTTTTTTTTGTTAACTTGTAATGCTGCAGTTAGATTATTATAGTGGTTAGTATATTAATTAAATCTTCTTATAGCAAAAAAACGACAACAAAATACTAGGATGTTTGAGCAAACTTATTCCTTTCGATATTCAGCCAACCCGGTCAAAACTAACTGTTTAATTATAATTTTACTTTATAAAAGATTAAGTTTTTTGATATGTAGATTTTTTAGAAAAAAAAATAAGGGAAATTTATAACAGGCTATTCAATTATAAAACATCAGAATGCCCTACGAAAGCGGTTAGCGGTCCTTCCAAGCCGATAGCTTATAATGTAAAGTCTCCATCGACGGAACTAAGACTCCGCTTAGTTCCGTCGATGTGTTAGGGGTATTTTCTCGCAATTAAAAGCGGATTGGAAAGAAACCTTCGTCAACGCTCGACCATAATCGGTAATCTGGTCGATGCACGATGCGACCATAGTGATTAGGAACGCGGGTCATAAGGTGCCTTTTGCGGATTACGACCGCCCTGGAAAGAGCTGAGGCGTAGTTGATGTGCTAACGAGGAACGCGGGAAAGTCGAATATTGACTCGCTTTTCTTAATTTTGGAAAGCAGAAAAGTTTTAATAAGCGACGGTTTTTGTTCAGGAAGCCTCCGCAAAAACTCAGAACTATGCCCCTAATTGTAATTCTAGCGAAGCGAACAATACGATGTTTCTCGGCAGTCTAAAACCGGGAACCTATTTTCGGCGACAGGCGACATCTTAAGCAGTGCCACCACTTTGTTGAAAACATGTATTTATTAATGGCGAGGATTAGCATCGAAAAATGTTGCTTGGAACGTGCACAAATCATAAAGATATGCGGAACGCATCTTTGAAATAGTGCTAATTCAATTACCTCTAATCATCCAGATCTACAGATCGCATCGGTGAAATGTTGCCAATACAATAAACCAATCAAAGATCTACGCAGTACCATTCCATGAATCATTCAGAGGAAGCTACGGAGCGTGTCCATAAAACACTGCCCACCTAATGGGCCAATCAAAGATCAACGGAGCACAGCCATGAAACAGTGCCAATCCAATGGGCCAATCATAAAGATTTGTGGAGCGCATCCATGCAATGCCGAAGCCCAGAACACGATTGGGGAACAAACTCTTCTTAACTATGCAAACCTGGCATTTAGCTGCGTAAACTCCAAATTGTTAAGTCGTCAGAAAAAAAAAAAAAAAAAAAAAAAAGAGGAGATACGAAAGGCACACGAGGTGCACAGGTATACACTGAGCATGACACAGTCATTTTTAAAGCCTCGTTAGACAAGGTCCTTACAGCCACGTCTGAGTCGTGTCATCATCATAATACTGAGTCAAATTATTCAATATCGAAGGATTCATAACATAAACAACGCGACTGACAAAGACGAAGAAAGACTGGACGACACGAGCGGTCGTGTCGTCCAGTCTTTCTTCGTCCTTGTCAGTCGCACAGCCATTTGTTCTGTTAATCGAAGGATATTAAAGCTATTAAGATTACCCATGTAAATTTCGTCCAATTCAATCAACAACTGCTCCTCCCTAGATTCCCACGCTGCCATTGGCTATCGAGGATTGGAATTCACAACCTCAAAACATCGATTCTATAAGTGATACTACTAAATCTGTTGAATCCATTCATTACCTTCTTTCTAACAAACCTAGATAACTTGCTTACAGTGTTATATTTGCGTTTACTGTTCTACATTTTTGTTTCATTGCCGACCCCTTTTATAATGCCCCACGGGCCCTCAGAATTGTCAAGGATGATGATTGCATTGATTGTAACATATATTCGTAATGTGAGCAGAATATTATACTTCATCGGCACTCTGCAGGTGATATCGAGAACTGAATTGCGAGTATGAGGAGAGTGTAGCGTAGAATATTTGCGTTAAACGCATGACCTTTAGTGCAAATAAAAAATAATAATAGTCGAATAAAATAACGGAAACAATTGATAAGAACAAGTAATATTCCGTGTTTTGACTAAATAGTGCTACGCGATCATGGGAACAAGAAAACATTTGTGGCCAATTCATTTAAGATGTTTTTATGACTAACTAAATGAGACCAGGAAGTGTCGTTTCATTTGCTTTTACTCAAAGCCTCTAGGCCGGGTAGAACCCTTACACGGAGGTCGGTAAAGTGTATGTCTTTTTTCTTTCAAACCTATATATTATGTATGCGGGAACGAAATTCTTCATATTTTTTATTTTCTTAATTAAACGCTTTTTACAAACGTTTTATAAAAGATATCTTTGAAATGCAAGCTTCCCATTGTGTGTTTTCCCCCTCCTAAAGTCCACCATCCGCTACTGCAAAGGGTCCGAAGTTTCGTCAAGCCACCCGTAAGTACCTTTTTTCGTCATACTCCGCCATGATACGACATAAATGTTAATACTATTATTACAAATACATTTGTGAGGCAAAAGCAGACTCACTATTTGAGTCGGTCGTTTTATTAAAATATAAGCTCGCCTCGATCATATCTGCTAAACTCGGAGACACACATAATGTGTTGCAAACGCCTGTCACGTCACGTCATTAGGTCACGTGACTCTGACTTCACGTGACGTCACGGCGACATGTAGCGTCACAATGCCACGTGACACCATGACGCCACGCGTCACAAGTCATCATGTCACGTGACATTATAATGTCACCTCAAACCGTGACGTCAACGTCATAACGAGCAATCTAGCCCCTTCAGGGCTATACCGCTTATATGACCTTGACGTGCGTTTTGGTTCAGCGTAACGGTCGAGCGTAACGCGTCGCTTTTCTCGAGAAACCCAGCACCAAAACGCATTTTGTGCTAAAACATTCCCCTCACCCTACCCCATCCCTCACCGTCTTTCGCAAATGGCGGCAGGCCTGACCTTGTTTACAAACACACCGCGGTGGCGACGCAGATCAGATCCCAAATAAGCGCGGATAACCCATCACGGTTCCCTAGGGGGTGTCCCATTGCGTTCAGCTCGCGTGCCTACTTAAGAGCCTCGAAAACGACGCGACCGACAGGGGAACGGTAGCCGGCGCATTACCACGCGCGCACGCCTCACCACGAAGCCCGTGGCACGCGCCACTGGGTCAATCAATCGCCTGTCCCCCCTAAGTGGATCTCCGGTGATCGATCCGAGACTTCGCGATGGAGCGGATCGGCTAATTACGAGTCGGGCGGCGGACGGCCGAGACCGTGATGGACGGCCACTTGTGTCCCAAATTGGGAACGGTGCGCAGTCGTTTAGGCGGCAGACACTTCGTCACCTCGCATCATTAATGCGATGCTAGATTGCCCGCTGCCACGGTCAGTGGCGCTGGGGCAAAACGAAACCCACACCTTTATAACGCAGCCCGTATGATATGGTTGGCACCTAACCATATATCCGGGATCGCACTCCTGGCACGTTAGAAAAAAACGCGAGTGTCAACCGAACAGTGACGCCACACTCGTCTCCTCCATGATTGGGTAAGAGTGCCAGCCGACCGTCTTGCTTGAGTAGATCCGAGTCGTTCTCGAGGGTTACATCACGGGATTAAACACAAAGAGACCCCAGCGACGCGTTCTACTCCTAGCACGCCCTAAACGAGAGAGCTCCGGACTTTTGTAACTTTTGCCAATCGCGCGCGCTCTTTAAATTTTGTTCTTGTTTTTTTTTTTTGCTTTGTTGTGCATTTTGGATAGGGGCGTTCACAAAGAAGCCACATCGCGGCGCGACTCTTTCATCGTCTCCGTGCAGGTATGTCCCGTTCGCCGAGTTGCCGCGGCGCCAGACACAGTGGCGCTGCGGTCGCATCTAGCTCGAAAAGGCTCCACATTCTGCATTACCACTGCCTCCGCAACCATAGTGGGGGAACGGGACGATTTTCTTAAACACATATTGCGTTTAATTGCAGTACCTGGAGCGCGTGTCTAACTGCTGCTTTTTCTGCGTCCTCAAATATAGTACCTCGATCTCTGCCTGATGACGTCACAAAAGTGTCATGCAACAATCCTGGCAGCCAAAAAAAAAAAAAAAGACTGTTTATACAGCAT